AACAAGCCCAGCTCCCTCAGCCTGTCTTCATAGGACTCTGCCTATGCTCCAGCCCTCTGATCATCTGCACCAAGAAGAAACTGAGAAAAAACACAAATTTGGAGAACTGCTATGTATGAAAAACACACAGCTTTGCACATTAAAACAACATACTGAGAAGACACTTCAAGTATTTCATTTAGCAGCTCATGAGAAAACTGCTTTTAAAGCCCCAAATGCTGCTTTGCAGCAAGACAAAGAGTTGCTACCAAGATGAAGCAGCCACAGTGAGCACGGTTCCTTTATCAAAGTCAACAAGCATTCCATGGATGTCCAATCCAATTTCTTTCTCTCAGGTTTTGGGTTTACAGCTTTAAGAAAATGCACACTGCTCAAGAGCCTGATGCTGACTGCCTTCCTTTAATCAATGGCCTTCGGGGATTGCTCTGAATAACTCACTTTGCTGTTGGAACAAAATGCTCGGGGAAGGCGAGCTGTGCAGTTACTAACGCTCAGAATGACACTGCAGCAGACAGCCAGGGCAAGCATGTGATGCAAAACCACTGGCTTACCTCCTTCCATTGCCAAGCCAGAGTGGAGGAGAATCATTCCATGTACAGACCAACAGCATTCAGGTGGTGTTGTGCTGCTTTGATTGTTTTGTAACAGCTTCTCTAAAGCCAGGTAAACAAGTGTGCTTCTGTTTTGAATGAGGAACGTGTAACTCCTGTGCAGATCCCACAGGGAGATGAGGCAGATTCAGTTTCATCTTAGATTCAACCCAGAGAGCTCCACTGAGATGTTTAGGATGATTAGGAACTACAGAGTCATGAGAGGGCTTAGAACAGCTACACCAACAAGTGTTTCTCTTTAGCAGTGCTCAGCCCCAGCTCTCTGATTTTAATCAGACTACCCAACATTCACACTCCAGCCCTCACGTGCTCCAGAATTACCCATCACCTGCTCAAGGAACCATGACATCAACACAGACAGTGTGGAAAATCCATTCCACAGTCTGACACCGCATCCTACAGCTGATGTGATCAGTGCTCACACACAGCTCTCACATCCCAAAACCACACAGTGTGTTATGGGAAGAGGAAGAGAACTACGGGGCTCACTGAGGCTCTACAGAACCTTACATTTTTCCCCCAGAGGGTGGTGAGGCACTGGCACAGGTTGCCCAAGGAGGCTGTGGATGCCCCATCCCTGCAGGCATTCAAGGCCAGGCTGGATGTGGCTCTGGGCAGCCTGGGCTGCTGGTTGGTGACCTGCACACAGCAGGGGTTGGAGCTGGATGAGCATCGTGCTCCTTTGCAAGCAGGAGGCCAGGCCATTCTATGATTCAATGATACAGTTTTACAGATTTCTCTGGGAGATACTGGATCCTGTACCTCGCTCAGGACACGTTCAACAGTTTGTTCCAACACTGCTTGGAAAAAAACTTGGGTTCGTTTTTCCTTGATAGCTGCTATTAAATGTTGCCTTCATCTTTACAGTAACGCTGACACAATCCAGCTGCACGCTGTGGTGTCACAGGTGCTCCTTTCTTTCATGCACCCACAGTCAGCACCTGCTAAGCACACACACAAGGAGAAGCAAGGGAAGGATGAAGGGCATGGAGAACTGCCCTGCCACGCTCAGCTCTTGCACGCTGACGCTCACGCTGTACCTACATTCATGCTGCACTTACATTTCAGGAGTCTTGGACTTGTTTTTTCCATTGAAAAACTCTGGAAGAGCACGGCGCTCAATCACATGAATGCTGCAAGGAAAACACAAAGTTCAGATGGCAAACCCCAAAGCCTTGCACAGGGAACTCCACACACCTCCCATGGGTACTGAGAGCACGCTCACTGCAACGGCCTCGCGTGGAAACCTGAACATTCCAGCAGGAGCCTTCAATTCAGTACTTCATTAAAGATATGATGGTTTCTTTTCAGCAGAAATAAGGCAATGTGGCCGTGAAGGGTCACTGCACCAGCAGGTATTAACAAGGACATTTGTGTAAGCCATGGTATGTGTGACACGTGAGGGCTGGGACAGCGGAGTAAAATCACAACGTGAGCACCCAGACTGCATGGACCTTGACTGTACCTTTTTGTTTTTAAATCTTAATGAGAAAACTGTGAGGATTTAATCCACCCAGCCCTGCAGGAGGAGAGCTTCGCAATTCCAAAGATTTCCACTTTATAAGGTGTCAGAAATGAACTTATTTCCATTAAAATGACGAGAGCAACTCCTAAAATGTCACACACTTCATCCAAATTAACATCTGAAAACTACAGAGGTCCTTGAGAAATAGTTCCTTCTAAAGGAAGCACACACTGCTATTATTATTATTATTAAAACTAATGCTCTTCCCTTGCATCTTGCAGTTTTCAGCCAAACACACCACCGTCCTTTGGTGCCAACATCATTCATTCTGTCATCCATTCAGAGAACAGGGCTCAGAGAGCACGATTCACCAAACAACAGGTTTACAGCACATAAAGTCATTTAGTTCTTGCAGTGAAGTCACCTCTACCAGAACAGATTACACTGGAACTGAATCGAGGATCAAATAAATTGTATCTGTTTATTACAGATTTAATGTCAGCAATGAATGCTGTGAAACAGCAGCTTGGAATGCACTTCAGGAGAAGGAGGTTAGAATTATTCTTCCATTTGCTTCAAACCAGCAGCAGTGTTTGCAATGTGGGAGGGCTGCAGCAGTCTGTGTGCATTGACATGAGCCAAAAGTGACCTTCTGGCACAGCAGCAGCAGCCACAGCTGAGCTCTGCTGCTCTCCAGGACTGCAGGAACCTCTCTGGATGGAGGCAGAGCTCAGGGACAGAAACACGTCAGCCTCACAGCTGTGCAGCTATTTCAGCCTCCAGCCAAAGTCAGCTCCATGTGCCGGACGTCTCTGATTTGGAGAATCTCAAACCAAAGCCTTTTTTGCATCACAGATGCTTTGAGGTCCCCTTTCACAAGGTAGGCACGGGTACATCTGAGCCAAGGAGAAGTTCCTTCTGTTTCTTTGCACCTTCTGTGTCAGTCCTGTAGCTGTGCTTCACGAGCTGATGAAGCTCTCAGGAGCACCAGTACAGCTCCTGCTGCTGCTATGAACACAAACATCTGCAGGAAGCTTCAGCCAGCCACTCCACGAGCACACATACAGTAACAGGAGAGGCATCCAAAGGAACCAAAGCACAGAGACCACACAGACATCTCCACGTTCACCTCAGGGAATCCTCACTTAGCTCGAGCTGCAGAGCTGCCTCTCCTGACCTACAGCAGGCCCCACAGTCACAAAGGGAATCATCCATTTAGAGTGAGTTAATGGAGCCTTTCACCCTGCACTGCAGCAGAGCACCTCAAGACTCCCTGCTCAGAAGGCAACCTGTAAGTTCACACTGTGTGCTCCTTGGCTTTTCTGCTTCTCCAAGTGGGAGAGAGCAAAGGAGGGAGGTGAAGGATGGCTCTACTCGTGAGGATTTAGGTCAGCTCAAGCTGTGAGAGCACACACAGACAAGGCAACACAGTTTGGCTCAGCCTCCAGCTCTGGCTATCTTTATGCTAACAGCTCAGACCCATCCTCAGCACTACTGCAGGAAGTTCTCCACCACAAGCTCCAGCTTCTGCTTTTAAGAACGGCTGTATCAAATCCCACAGACCTCAGCTCAGGAAGATCTGCAGGCGGAAAAGATGAGCCCACATGTGTGAACTACACCTAAAAAGAAGTAATTTCTTTCAGCTCTCAGCACGACTTACAAAAAAAAACCACCAACGAAACTCTAAATCCCCAGATCCCAATTGCTTTCTTACCAGTTGTAGTCAAACCAAGACGCATAGCTGGGAATGATGATGTGGTTGGTTTGTTCTGTGACGTTATCTTCACCTGGATCCATCGATCGGCTCTGGTCACCTTTGTTAGGATCTTCATCCTCCTGTGTCAAGGAAGGAACACAGTGGTGAGGAGGCTGCAAGCAGGGAGACATGGACAGCCCTCGTGCAGCCACCCCAAACAAATGCCTTCAGTGGGGAGAGCCCCAGGGATGAGAGGAAGTGCTTCCAAAAGAGAATAAAGGAAGCAAAAAGCTGCTGAGAGCTGTTGTCAGACCTCAAGAACACACCTGGCAATACCTTAAGATGACTTGTACTTCCTGCCACTCTTCCCTCACTCCTCAGAAGAGTACTAATGGAAATCAGTCATTAGTTCTCACTTTACTGGGTGACACTTGTAGGGTACAGAGTGACAATTCTGCAGGCAGCAAATCACAACCACTGACATTTTTGCTTGGATAACCTTTATTGGTCAGTCTTAAGGCTGGTCCTCAATAATTCTGCCTCGTGAAGAGATATCAAGCTCAAATTTTGACTGTGCCATGGAAACCCTGGCATGGGGTATAGATGTGCTGTGTTGGACATAAAAGATGGACAAACTTTCATAGCAGACATTAGACCAGCAGATCCCAGGAGCTACAGCACAGTGGGCAGAGGTTTCTCTGGAAGGCAGTTGCTAATAAAGTCAGTAGGAGATGTTTTAACAAGGGGACATCAAACATGGCCACGTGGATTAACAGGGACCATTCCTCTCTCATCAGAAAGCTGAGAATCAGTGCAGATTTTTGGGGACAGTACACAGAGGCTATTTACACTATTTACACTATTTACACTATTACACTATTTACAGCCTCCTCTGGCTCAGGTTTCCTGTGTACCTGTAACACAAGAGTCCTTACCTTGCCAAAGGTAACTTCACTTCTAACAAATTTCTTTGCCTGAATTACTTCAAAGAAACCAAAGGCTGTTCAAAACAGCCCAGCCCTTGAAGCAGGATTTTGGGAGTATCACCACTGCACCTTTTGGGGCAACTAAATTCTCCCATAGACAAGGTACTCTCCAAACCTATTTAGTGACCTCACCATAGCTGTCCAGAAAAGAAGTCTGTCCTCTCCTCATCCCCCCACTCCCCCTCCCTGTCTCCAAGAACAGAACACAGACCACGGCCAAAAAGAGCCAACCCCAAACCAACAAGCCTTTAGCAGAGAACGTAAAAGCAACATCTCCCAACCTAGCACAGATTGAACCCTTGCTGCACGAGTTCCACAATTCCAGGTTATTCTACACCCTGGGATCAAGGAACTGCAACTAATGTAACAGTATTTCCCTTGCTGGAGAAGCCCAGTCACTCTTTGTGAGCACGAAACTCTGCTCACCTAAGAATGGCACTTTGGCCATCTGCCCATGTGTTTGCACCTAGGTGCTTACACAGCCTGAAACGCAGCCCAGCTCTACATTTAGCACTGAAATCTAAAGGAAAAAAAAAACACAAGCTTTGAAAAATCTGCATCCAAAAGATGTTCATCTGAAAAAACTTTACATCTGTTTCCACCAGTGACCAATTTGGTCTTAACTATCCCTTGAAAAGCACTGCAGGGTAAGTCCACAACGATGAAGATTTCAGTTTCCACCAAGCTCAGCATGAAATCACTGCAGTTACCTTTCCTCCAGTCGCCACTGTCTCCTCATCCTGTTCATCTGAAAGGCAAAAGCACTGGGAATTAAAGTGATGACATGCACCTGACTGCTCACACACGCAGTCCTTCCCAGCCGTGAACTGCTTAATTGGAAAGACTGCATTTGTTCTGGGAGGGAAGCGAGGAGGAAAGCGAAGCAGAGCACACATCATGAAGACTATCTCATCTCTATGCAGGCACTCAATGGTCCCACACAAAGGAGCACATCAGAGAGGGGATAAAGAGGAAGATAATTAGAATTTTTCCACGCTTAGGAATCCATAATTAATTACTGCCTGGCCCAGTGCCCTAGATGTACCTTGTATAATAAGACATGGGACACTAGTTTCTATCCCTTATACCAGAGGGCCAGCAAAGCTCAGGGAACCTGCAATTCAGCCTAACTCCTAATAAGAAATAAACATCTACCAAAGAAGAGCTCGTATGTCACTTCCCAAAACAGCAAACCCTGCCTGCAAGGGAACAGACCCAAAAGGAAGAGTACATTTCAAATGGAATACAGGTGAAAACTGAATTAATTCAGAAATCAGAATGAGAGATGCCTTTCACAACTGAGAGTTTAAAATACTCTTCCTGCTGCCCTGCAAACACGACTTTGCTGTAAGAAGGATGTGTGTCCCTGCGTGCCTTACCAAGGTCTGCCACTGTTCCTCCTTTCACAGGCGTGTTCTCGCTGTCTTTCTTTGGGTTCACTGCAAAACAAAGATTGCAGCTCTAATGAGTAATCATCAGACAAAATACAATTATCAACGTCCAGCACACTGCTGCTATCTTATCAATAAACCGTTCTGTTGGTCGGGTCCTTGCAGTTCAGAAGAGTTCATCTGGTCGGGACAGTTTGAGCACAAGAGACCATTTATTTGGCTCCTGTCTGATCTCCCATGGAACACAATGCTGCCTCTATGCAGGCACTGAGGGCTCTGACTGCTGTGCTTTTCCCACCTGCACAGCACCCAGCAATTCCTCCACGCAATCCAGACCAGATCAAGTCAAACTGCCACATCCAAAACGCTTTGGTGCTGGATTTTATTTCTGACCTATCCTTCCTTAACACCTACTGATAAATGGACACTTCTGCCCACACTGGGCATCTCAGCAGAGCCTCCACTAATTCCATATGGCTAGCTTGGGTACTCGACATCACAGTCCAAACATCTGACAACACATGCATGTTTTCTCTGTACAGTTCAAGCAATTGCTTTAACGTTCAAACACTCCATATCTGTAATTTACCATTTTTGGGAAGTACCACTTCTTCTATGTTAGGTACTGGCGTGGGATCCTCCATGTCCTTTGTAAGATCTTCTTGCTCATCTTCTTCCTTCTGCCCCCTCCTTTTCCCATATATGGTTGCTTGTCTGAAAGAAACCATAGAGAAACTCTCTGACAGCTGCACGTGTCAGATGCATTCACCTTGATGTTATCCTTCAGCAGACAACAGGATTAAAGGGCTGGGTTAAAACTCTTCTGGGCAAACAGTGCAGCAGGAAGCATGGAGGAGTTAACAAAAACCAGTCTGTGCATTACTAACATAATTTAGAAGGGCACTAGCGAGTAATTTTTGCAGCCTAATGATTCAGTTTCATACAAATGATGGTCTTTTGCCATTGATTCAGGACTGCAGGACACTGCTGTCTGAATTCTGAATGCCAGCACGCTGGCAGCACCTGCACGCCTGTGAGACTCAGGGCAGCAGTGCTTCACTTCCATTCCTCCTTTCCCAAGCTGCAATAAGGGCATCTGCTGCACGGACCAGAAGAGGCAACAGACCATTGCAAGGCCTTCTGCCTCATCTGGGGAACAAGCAGGCTTTTCCACATCATTTCTGCATCCAGAGAAAGTCCTTCTGGGAACAAAGGCAGAATCACCCAGGCCCCTCCTTACAGAAGTGAACTCAGGCTTCACATTTGGAAATAAACACTAAGGATTCATTCGTTATCTGACCTTTCTGACCTTCTCATCTCAGACGACAGACTTCCAGCACTGCTGCTGCTTTTTTTTTTTTTAAGATAGCACTGCTAAAGAAGCCCTGATTTTTAACAGATTCAAACAGAATGGCCTGGGTTGCAAAGGAGCACAGTGCTCATCCAGTTCCAACGCCCTGCTGTGTGCAGTCACCATCCACCAGCCCAGGCTGCCCAGAGCCACATCCAGCCTGGCTTTGAACGCCTCCAGCACCTTAAGCACTTTTTAAGTGCTCCCACCCACACCACAGAACCCCACCAGTGGTAAGCTTTCATTTGGTTACAATCTTGGCCCTTTTTTTAAAGATCAAACAAGCACAGAGAAAAAAATCAAACACCGCCGACCTGTGGGCAAACTGTAATCAACCAACAGTGCTCAGGTGAAGTGATATTTCAAAAGTTCACTTCAAAACACAAGGCTACATAGATTAAAAATTCCCCAATTACATGCAGTCATTCCAGTGGCTCTCCTTCAAAAGGCACCCCAGTACCACTGCTTGCACTAACTGCAGCTATTCCAGAAGCAGTGAGGGTTTCCCTAAGCTCTATTTCAGTGCAGCACCACGTCCTGCTGCTGAGGAACAGACAACATCAGGACTTGCACAGGTTCTCCTCCACCCACAGGCAATGCACTTCCACACAGAAGTCAAGAAATGATGAACACTGCACTATAAAACCACACAAACCTAGTGTAGAAATGATTCCAGCCTAAGGCAGATCTGAGGTGTGAATAGCGACACGGGACAGGGCCGCCCATAAGCCCCCTTCAGAACAGCAGCCCCAGCTTCCCTGAATAAGACACTCACCCTTTCTTCCCTGATTTTTTTCTTGACTCCACAGGAGTGGGGGGTGGAGAAGGAGAATGCTTTCTCTTCCGTGTGCTTGCTGCTGCTTTCCTGTCTCTCCTCTCAGGACTACGCACGGGCTGTGAGAGAAATGAAAGGCATACTGCAGTTATTGAAATGCTGCAGCCTTCCTTGTTACGTCTTACAACAAAGGAGCTGAAAGCAGTAAGCAGTAAGAATCCTCAGCACCAGAATGCTTTCCAAACACACCTCTGCCAAGGCGAAGTAATGTAAGCTTTTTATAGCCATCCCTGCTGCAGGAGCTACCTACAAACTGTGCTCTTAGAGCAAGACTCAGCAGCTAACTTATGGCACGTCCAATGTACTCCACCCATCAGCATTTCCCAGCAAGCAGCCTGAGCTGAAGGTTAAATGAATGCTCTCAGAGTCCTATCAAACTTTCTGCATCAGGAAGAATACGAAATGAGAGCATCTGGAAATTAATTGATGCTGTCCAATGGAGCCCTAGTTTCATTTAGAAGAAAGTACAAAGTCAATCTCTTCTCTTGCCATCCTTGGGAAACAGAAAGAATGTAGAAATAATAAAAGACAACAATAGTTCTCTGAAATAAATGACACATCAGAAGAAATTCAAACTAAGCTGTACTACCACAGGTACCTGAAAGTGTTCAGCTTGTCTGAATCTCAGTCACTTTTGCAGAGAGAAGGAGTATTAATGTAGCAGCAGGTCACACACTGAGCTGGAGCCACCTACCTCTTCATTCTTCATGGAGATTCTCTGCCGAAAGCTCACAGATTTCCTGTTCTCATCCACCTCATAATCCTCTTCATTCATCCATTCGTTGAATATATCTGTGTCCAAAATCCACTTGGCATGAACCTAAAGAACAGAGCAACACGAGGCACATCAGGGACAAGTAGGTGATCCCAGACAGCCTGCATGGATTCACCAAGGGAAGGTGGTGCCTGACCCATCTGTGGCCTTCTATGATGGAGTGACAGCACTGGTGCACAAAGGGGAGGCAGCTGATGTCATCTACCTGGGCTTCTGCAAGGCCACGGTCCCTCCCCACATCCTTATCTCCAAACTGGAGATATGAGGGGTGCATAAGGAATTGGTTGGAAGGTGGCAGCCAGAGGGCTGTGTTGAATGGCACTGTGTCCAGGTAGCAGCCAGTGATGAGCAGCGTCCCCTGCTCATCTGGTACAGGAGCAGCACTCAGCAACATCTTCAGCAGTGACACTGATGGTGGGATTGAGTGCAGCCTCAGCAAGTCTGCTGATGGCACCAAGCTGAGCAGTGGAGCTATAGCAGAATGAAGGGACGTCACCCAGAGGGACCTCGACAAACTCGAAAGGTGGGCCCTTGTGAACCTTGTGAGGTTCAGCACAGCAAAGGGCAAGGTGCTGCACTTGGGTCAGGGTGATCCCAGCTACGAATACAGACTGGGAGAAGAACTCCTTGAGAGCAGCCCTTAGGAGAAGGACCTGGGGGTCCTGGTGGATGGAAAGCTGACCGTGAGCCAGCAGGGTGCTCTTGTAGCTTGGAAAGCCAAAGGTATCCAGGGCTGCATCAGAAGAGAGGTGACAGCAGGGACACGGAGGTGATTGTCCACATCTGTTCTGCCCTTGTGAGGCCCCATCTGCAGCACTGCATCCAGGTCTGGAGCCCCCAGTACAAGAAAGACAGAGATCTGTTGGAGAGGGGCCAGAGGAGCCACAAAGATGCTCAGAGGCTGCAGCACCTCCCTGCAAAGACAGGCTGAGGGAGCTGGGCTTGTTCAGCATGGAGAAGAGAAGCTGCGGGGTGACCTCAGTGCAGCCTGCAGTGCCTGAAGGGAGCCTGCAGCCAGGAGGGGAGTCAGCTCTGTGCAAGGGGAGATGGCAGCAGGACGAGGGAAATGGTTTGGAGCTGAGGGAGGGCAGCTGGAGGTTGGATGTGAGGGGAAGTTGTGTGCTGTGAGAGCGGGGAGGGGCTGGAACAGCTGCCCAGAGAGGCTGTGATGCCCCGTCCATCCCTGGAGGTGTTGGAGGCCAGGTTGGATGGGGCCCTGCACAACCTAACCTAGCACTTGATGCAGCAGTTGGCAGCCCTGCCTGCAGCAGGGGGTTGGAACTCGGTGATCCTTGAGGTCCCTTCCAACCCAAGGCAGTCTCTGATTCTATGACAATTCTATGAACACAGTGACATGTTGATTCTTGCAAACAGTCACTCTACAATGGAGCTAACAGGATGAAGGAAATACTTTCAGCCTTGTTATGGGGGTCTGAAGTTACAGATCTCACAGGAATTTTACATATATTAAGTGACAGCTCCATGAAGCAATGCTATGAAGGCTGGGCACACTATAAGCCTGCTGAATGCCATGTCTGCTCTTCTGTCCTTTCAAGTCATCTCACGTGTGAGGTCAGCTCTCACAGCTGGGGCAATGGCTGTGCATTAAAAGCATTAAAAGCATACTTCAGATACCAAAAATTCCTCTCAGAATCCACCAAGTTTGACACAGATCACCTTAACAGTCAGAATGTGCAGCAATGGAGACAAATAGGAAGAACTGCCATATCTTGTGAGGATTGACTATCCTGATTTAAAACAGCCATCTGCAAGTTTACATAGCTGAATAATGACATTTTCGAGCTTCAGTGTATTTTATACACAAAAAGCTGAAGTCCCATTTATTTACATGCAGCAGTTTGGAACAGGGAGTGCCTGCACAGACATCACATCCAGTTATTTTCTGACCCGAGCTGCCCTTTCCTAACTCTGCTATTCACATGAACAGCACAGGCACAGAACAATGCTGCATGTGATGCATAAAGGAATAAGCCCTATAATAGGACGTTAAGTAGTATTTACTGCTGTTGGATTGTAACTGCTTTGTCCTGTCCTCTTGCAGTGAAGTACATCAGAACGACTTCTTCCATCCCTGCGACGTCAGCTTCGAGCAGAGCTCCCCATTAAGCAAACACTGCTGCAATGTGAGCTGTGGCCCTCAGGGGCTCTTGAAGCAGCTGCTGTTTTCTCAGAGGCTCCCACGTTGGCTCTCACTCCAGGGACAGCTGCGTGCCCACAGCTGTGTGCCTGCAGCAGTGCCAGGGCTCGTGGCACACTGAGCCAGAGCAAGAACCAACAGGAGAAAAATGAGGCACGAGGCAAAATGAAACCAGCAGGAGGGTCGAGGGCACGGGGAGCCCCCATCCAGCTCTGCTCCGCTGCCAGTACCTGAGACTGCTGCAATAAAGTTGCCACAACAACAACTGACAAAGAACAACAAGGTTTCAGTTGGACCAGAGGTTTGTTTCCCAAAGAAGCCCATTTCCATATCATCTGGCTCCCATTCTTTCCGGCCATTTCCATGTATGAAGTTTCTGCATACACAAAGAAGTGCTTTAAATCCTGTAATATGTGTGAAGTGCTTGGGCTCCTGACTGCATGGCTCCTTTCTATCACAGCATTCTTCAGAAGAACATCACCAAGGATGAGGTATTACCCCCATCTCCACTCCTTAACTAATTACACCCAGTAATGAGCAGCCAGGGCTCCTCCCAGAGGCAGCTCAACTCAGCAGCAGAGGAAGGAATTACCTTTAGCACAAACCCCCCCAAGTCAGGCCACAATAAAGGTGGTAATTTTAGCATCATAGGATGCATCCATCTGCCCTCATCATCCACAAGGAGATTTCCCCACGGTGCCCCTCTCCACACCAAAGAAACGCGTTGGGGTTTTCATTACAGCTCTACAAAAACCACTTTCTTTTTCCATATATATGGAAATACAGCCACTGACACCCAGCAGCACATTAAGACATCTACCCAGTAGAATTCACAGATGGGTTACACCAACACAGTAACTCTGGGAAGCTCTTTAAGGGATACTCACCTTCCACGGCTTTTCAGGAATTGGAGGATCCTCAATTTCAGCATCTATTTCGTTGGCATGAACCCAAGTGTCATAGCTAATGAGAAGAAGCAGAGAAAACAAAATTGGTCCCCTGGGCTGCTCATCCAGAGAGATCACCAGCAGGAATATTTATTCAGCTATTCTGACATCTGCAAATCACACTGCTGGGATGGAACGGCACATTATTTTCCATTCAGTGGAAGTCAAACAAAGGAATCATCACTGGTTCCTGCTGTGGGAACAGGGCACTCTGAGAAGAGAGGGGTCTGAGGCATCCAGGGCACATTTCTCACTTTCAGAACTCAGCACCCATCTCAGTGATGTCATCTCCTGCCTGGAATTGCACATCTCTGCATTCAGGGGTACAGCACTCGTGCAAACCCTGCCAGTAAGTTCATTGTTTCTGAAGAATTCAAGGCAGCAGATACCACACTCTTAGGAGAAGAAAGAATGCATCCCCTTCTTCAATCCCTACTGCAGAACTCAGGCATTACTTACAGTCACTTTTCCACATATCATTCCCCTCATAAATCTGTTTGTTAATGTTAAGAAACTGCACTCCAAACCTAACCAAACCCCCTCATAACCAGGTGCTGAGCAGCTGGAAGAAGCCATACTTCAGAGAAGATGCATGTGCAGCATTTTTTTAGTGTTTATGCTGGTATTTCTAACTATCTTTACATACACACCTACACAGTAGGCACACCCTTGGTTATTCAATACAAATAAATATTTAATAGCTCATCAGTGTGAAGAAGGAAGCTTCAAGCACAATGTTGTTTGCTCTCTCCTGCTGAAACATGCATAGGGCACTGGAGAACACATCTGTGCCCACTGCTCTGCAGAACAAGAGTGCAGCCACACAGCTGGGACATCCTCCAGCAGGTTCACTGACAGCACTGAGGGCAGAGCACAGCCATCAGGAAAGGCAAAATTCAGTATGCTGAAAGAACAGCTTGTCTGAGGACATGCATTGGCCTAATGGCAACTTCTAAGCAGCCCTTTGCCTTTAACTAAACTTGGGATTCGAGGTGTGCTTTCCTCCCCCCTGGATTTACCTGTCTGGAAAGAAGCCCCAGTGCACCAGCACCTGCTTGTCTTTTTTCATCACTGGTCTCAACCATTCATCTGCAAAGGGGAAACAGATGATCAGATTCAGATTGCAAAGTACATAACAGTGTTTTGCTTTCCTATAGTCAAGCACAAAAAGGTTAATGCAATCATCTCTTTTTAAGCACGCTGCAGTGAAATTACAGTGCCCTGACCCATACTAGTAATACAGTTGCCTGCATCAACTTTGCCATGCATAAACGTTCATGTGCTCAAATCACAAATATTAAATTAAGAAAGTCATTTTAATACAAACAATGATTGCATTTCCTTCCCTGGCCATACATATCCATGCCCTAATGTGCTCATGACTAAAGCCCAACGGAGCCTGAAACACTCATCAGCTTCCCAGCAGCAGGAGGAGCTGCAGGGGGGGCACACAGCACTGCCAGCTCCCCCAGGCCCATCATCTCCCCAAAGCTCAGAGTAAAACCTTCACAATGACATCCTGCAAAGACACCAGCAACAACGTGCTGAGAGACACTCACCAGCCCGCCACAATTCTCTCATCATTATGCAGCTGAAAGGACTGAAGCTCTCCCAGAATGTTTTCTTGTCAACCAGTAAATACACGGATATTTTAAAACCTTCTCAGACTTATGATGCCCTCATTATCTCCTATTGTTCCACAAGACTCTCCCCAGAATTAAGTTCTACTCTCAATGTGGCCCAGAGAATGACCCTGAAGAGCTGCACACGTGGAACATCACTGCTTGAATTCACAGCTCTTCTCTCAGCTCACTGCAAACCAGGCAGCCCTGGCACAGAATCACAGAATCACAGAATCACCCGGGTTGGAAGGGACCTCAAGGATCATGTAGTTCCAACCCCCCTGCCTAGCAGGGCCACCAAACACACACATTCAGATCAGGTTGCCCAGGACCCCGTCCAATCTGGCCTTAAACACATCCAAGGACGGGGCATCCACAACCTCCCTGGGCAGCCCGTTCCAGGGCCTAACCACTCTCCTTGTATAGAACTTCCCCCTAACATCCAACCTAAATCTTCCCTCCTTCAACTTCGATCCATTTCCCCTAGTCCTGCTGTTGTCAGCCCTTTTGAAGAGTTTACTCCCCTCGTGGGTGTAGGTTCCCTTCAGAGTTTACTCCCCTCGTGGGTGTAGGTTCCCTTCAGAACCTTTTGGCACGCTCACTGACTGCACAACCACCACGTCCAACCCTTGTCAACAACCTGAAGCAGTGGTAAAAGCAATGCAAACTTGTGGCTAGACGTTCCCAGAAGCACAGAACACACAGAACAGCACACCAACGGACACACAGTCCTCCAACATCCCAATGTGGAAGTGAACACTTCCATCTAGTGGAGCTGGGATGCCAGGGCGCACCAGGAACAGCGAGCTGTGGCAGAGCACCAGCAAGGACCTGCTTCTTCACACAGACAGCACAGCTCGTTTTTGCTATCTGATGAAGGCTAAAGCTGTTAAATTGCTCCTGAGAACCTACTGCATACAAGCACATTATAATAAAGCCAACAGTCTCCATTTGTCAAGTCTGTTACTGTGTCCACCTTGTAAACCACGGGCAACGACAACATTCCCCATCTATAACCCAGAAAGGGCAGAACATGGCAGGAAGCTTTTCAATCTCTTTTACTTTGGTGTCTGTGATACCTTTCACACATCCTGCTGCCCCCCTCATACTGTTCCACTCAACTTTTGGCCAATTCTTACACAATGGGGGAACACATCAAGGAAGAAAAAAAAAAAAAGGTAATGAAAACTTCAGCTTTAATTTCCCTACTTCCATTATCCTTCCTTCTAATGTTTAATTCTAAGCTAAGTTGATTTGTCCCTCAGTTCTTCCTAGGCTTTGGTCCCCCTCACCCTGTAAGTTATCTGGGTCAAACTCAACGTTCACTTGCTTGGCATACGCTGCACTCAGCAATAAACACTGATATCCCAGCTAACCCAACTGCTAAGAGCTGTGCCAAATAAAGATGCT